GGGGGGGGGAGGGAGAGGGAGAGAGAGAGAGATGGTCCGGGCCGATTGACTCATGGGTCAGCTACCGGTTCGGATCCGGTCCGGTTCAGTAGGTCAAGATATTATAGCCCGGCCCAGGCCCCTTAAATTAATGGGTTGGTCCGGTTAGGATTTTGTAGGTCATGGGCCGATTAATGAGTCAATTTTAATTGGTTATGTGGCCGGTTCGTGGGTCAACGTGGCCCATTTTGACGAGTCTACAGCAAACCAAAAGTTATGGAAAAGTGTGGGTTTTTTGTTGAAATGAAATGAATTTATAATCTTTTTATTCATTATTTATTGTGGGGCCTATCTTCTAGTAGTACAAATAGGAGTCCTCCACATGATTAGTCACAAGATCCCTTGACACCAAAGTATGCTTATTCAGAACAATTATTACATCGTACTGTCTATGAACGATGGATACGTTAATCATTTTCTTAAGACTAAAAATGAGTATTAAATATAATAATAAGGTTAATAATTGTAAGGACGGTAGTCTATACAGGCACTAATTCCAAATATGGTTATATTTAAGATTCTAGGTGACCAACCTTTTAATAAAATGTATAATGAAACAAGTTTATAATAATTAAATACGACATATTTAAATAAATCTTTGAGATATTATTTGAGAGAAAAGACAGTAGCACACTTCCACGTGGATTTCACAAGAATGCTAGGTAGAATTCGTGATTATTAAAATACTTATAATGACTCAATTATATGTTTAAGTTGATCAATCCTCTACTATTAGCTACCATCAATTATGGATCTAAATATATTTGGATTTCTTTTTTAAAATCTAGAAGTCGGACATGACAAGAGCAGATGCAATTACACATGACAGTTTTAACCTCAATACAGTCACACCTCTCTAGAACAGCTTTGTCTGTTGTGATATTTTTTATCGACAGTAAAGAACTGTTAAAAAAAATATTATAGCATGATATGAAAAACTAGTTCCAAAAAAACTTGATTGTTATAATAAGGTACTGTTATAAAAGATGATTGTCATAGAGAGATCTAATTGTATTTTCATATGTAACATAAATATATGAGAGAAATCGCCAAAATTTTAACTATTATATTTTGATCTCATAATTTAAAAAGTTCAATGTGTCCTGCAAAAATGCAAGATAAGGCTGCTTCTTATAGTCTGGCCCGTCCTCGGATCCTGCGCATAGCAAAAGCTTAGTGCACCGAACTGCACTTTTTAATGTGTTTAGAGTTAAAAACAAATCCAGAATTCATGTCTACATATAACGTAATGAAACTAGGAAATACTCACTCTGGTAAAGTTTAATTGATTTTTTGGCACTTTTTGTGATCCACAATATTTAATTTTTTCACAAGGTAGGGATAAAGCTGCGTATACACTACCCTCTCCAGACCCCACTATGTGAGATTATACTATGTTTTTTGTTGCTGATATTTAATTTTTTCAGATATCAAAAAGGAATTAACTTCTTTTTTCCAAAGTTGCTCTTGGAGCAAAGAACCTAAGAGTATTTATGATATTTGTAATGAACAAATTAAGGTTAATATAATAATTTTCAATGTTAATTAATACTAAAAGGTGAATTCCTTAATATGTGTGAAAACAACCAAAAATTCAATTAAAGTGGACCGGAAGGAGTAAGGAATAGGTGGAGCAATCCGAACTCTTAACAAAATATAAAAGAGGACCACAAGCATGTGTATACACCTCAACGAACTCATGTGGACACTCCTCGTCCCGGGACAACCTCTCAAAATCACATGTTGATGTACTTGACCCGTTTTTTTTTTTCTTTGTTAGATTCCTCTCAATGAAATTTTCCAAATTCCTCAAATGCATTTATATGACAAAGTAGTACACACACCTATTGTAGAAGAGGTGAAAGTTGACCTACAACAGTCATCTGCATTTGAAAAACTTGACAACATGTTTCTTTAGGATCAAACATGGGGTACAAGGTTTCTGCTTAGGACTGCTTATATTCGAACCCGAGCAATGGAATAAGGTCTCTCCTGGCAAGAGAACAACGTTCATTTACACTTCGATCAGAACAAGGCATTGCCAGAAGCTTCAGTGGCAAAACATAAAACAAGAAAAGCCGATCACCATAAAATTTACCGAGGCCAGAAATAGACGGTTACAAACCTGTCAACTGTTACTATAGTTTAGCTCCGAATGTATGAATTTCATAGTATGCAAATAAAGAACAGAACTTTATCATAAAGCTTTTCAAAACAAGGAAAATGAGATTACTACAACCAAAACTGAGCAGACAAGCAACACTTAAGAGGGGTTTTGGTAGGTCGCAATTAGTTCATACTACACAGTATTTTTCCTCTCTCTATCACTCCGAGTACTCAACTTCAGGTGAAAACCACCAACAATTACCGCAAGAGCAGCTACAAACGTCTACTTTTTAGCTTTGTTTTCTCTCAGTTGACCACAGTAGTCGCACAAAAGTGCTCCATAAACCTCATTACATCCATAACTGGAGTTAGTAAGTCGAGTAGCCAATATTAGAATGTCCTTTACGCTATATTTTTAGAGAATGAAAAGACTGATCCTAAGCGTTTGGATGAGATTAATTAGAATATGAGAATATGATGGGAGGAATCCAAGATTTTCAGCTGAACCCTTGGACTCCTAAGTGAACCATTTGGTATTTTCACAAAATGCAGGCAACCGAAAGTGTGGATAATGGGAACAGCCACTCCAGCCTATTCCATTTAATCACTTTTTATTATAACAACTTTGACAGGTAAGCTAATAAAATTGCATTGGTAAATCAAAATCAGAACTTCACATGCTTGCTCAATAGGTAGTATAATTCTGGGGGCCAACTGTCATTCTCCCCAAAGTACATGGACTACTACGTTATATCGTCAATTCCTTAAGTGTACATTCTTGAGCACTTTCCTGAGCCGAGGGTCTATCGAAAACAGTCTCTATACCTTGACAAGGTAGGGGTAAGGTTGCGTACACAGTACCCCCTCCTCAGACCCCACTTGTGGGATTCACACTGGGTTTGTTGTTGCTGTTGTTGTTACATATTCTTGAGCACCATACAAATGGCAGATAGATAGACCGGTTCTACACTTTAACAAGTGATAGTTGTTAAAACTACTACGAGTCTCACAACTCTAATCCTATCAGCATGTTCCCTTTCAACGCCTAAACTAACTTGGCTGTAATAGACAGGTACTCGATGACTACATCGATGTGCAGGTCTTTAAATAGGTTCACATTACCCACGCTGACATAATTTATGTAATTGCAAACCTCTTAAATTTATCAAACAAGTAGTTGCAGCATACTAACTACAAAAGCTTAGATGACGTCAAAAACCTTAAAATTGGTATATGGTGAGAATGAACGGACGGACAAGGATAAGTAACAGAAAAAGGCGGGGATCACTTACCTAATCTCATATGGACGCAAAGGCGGAGAGAACTGCAACCCTCAACTTGAGCTCTTCTAGCCAATACCTGAAAGTTGGGGTAGATGGACATTAGACCATATCTAAATTAAATACTGAGAAACCTTGTATGCAACTACATTTTTTTCGCTTAAAAATGGAGTACTGAGTAACCTTGAATACAACTACCTATTTTTTTCCTTGGGGGAATTAGGAGGGGGTTCGGCTTGGGGGATTAATGGAATAGATCTAAGTATTGAGTTCTTTTCTGCATGTAGTCACCAACTATGTTGTGCAGACTCTCCAAAATGTTGCACCCGTGACGGATCCTCCAAAAATGCACTACTTTTGGATAATCCGACACGCACCCGGCAAACATTTCCCGAGAGTCCGAGCAACATAGGTCACCATACAACGCTACATTTTTCCATCAAGTGAAGACATATCATCTCTTGTTGTTTCCAGTCCTGAAGCAACATAACTTATGGCCTATAGAAAAAGTGGAACGAAGGTGCCTCATCGTCAAATCAGATTGTGATAGGATGCAATTTCTACAAAGCCTAACATTCCACAAAATCAGATATGAACTCATTCACAATATGTTAACCTGCCAATAGACCATAATCTCATTCACAATAACATTCCCCCATATGTGCATCAACTTCCATCTCTTTTCCAAACACCATAAATGACTATACAAGGACATATGGTTGGATCTTTTAGTCAACTTGTTTTATGATGAAATTTTCAGATGGCTACGTAAGCGCGAACAGGAAAATGTTTTGCATGTCTCTCCCTATCAATTTCTCTCTACCTTAGTGCAATTACAGCATGATTTCATGCAGTATCAATCACCAAACATCTATTACTTTCTTTGCACTTCATCAAACATACATTTTATTCTTTTCTTTTCACTTATACTTCCATAGAGATGATATTCAGTTTTGCTGAATTATCAATGAACCAACAACCTAATAAAATAGTTATTTTTATCTTCCTTTCTTTGAAAAGGAAAATTCAGGAACATAAAAGTAGATCTGGTCATCTGGATATCCAAAAGAAAAATTCCATTTGATAAATTCAATTTGATCTGTCATCGCTGTGGAGTGTGGACGAATGTAGAATCTGTCCAAAAAAGAAATGAAAACTTCTCTTCACAAAAGGAAACATATTATGTCAACCTATGTGATGCATTCGCTTTATTCGAAATATAGGCTTAGTCACTAGCACAATTCGAAGAACTGATCCTTTAAATTTCCCTTGTTTTATTTCAAAGGAACTGCCAAACAATATTATAAACTCAGTTCAGGACCTAGAATCAGCTGGTCACCACTGAACTGCTGGGCAACTCGTGCCTGCCCAACAGGTTGGAAAAACTCAAACACGACGTACATGTATTAAGGGCCTCGACGCATGCTTTTATGTGAGGAGAGTGTATCTGACACAAATATAACGACCGACTTGGTGTTCAAATTCAAACAGATCACATATTAAGCAGGCACTGATGGACAAAGTAAAATAAACTAACTAATACAAATTACAAGGTACGGATTCCACGTCAACATAGAAAGAGGAGTATATTTGTTAGCCACCAGAAGGCTGGATAATCATTCCATCTGCTGTTATTGCTTGCATAGAAAAATTATGACGGGTTCTTAGAACGATCATTTTAACTCAAGGAAACATACCATTGAATCTCTAAATAGTAGGCCACTATTTAGTAGGAGAAAACGAAAATTTTCTCGTAAGAATGAGTTTACACCTATAAGGTCAGCCCTCATATGAAGTATGGTAAATTGCATTATCACTCTACTTCCTAATGTTGGAATTGTAATATGAACAATGAGGAAATGCAGAATGAGATTTTTACTTTCTATTGGCAACTGAAAAAGGAGAAGAAAACGAATTATATATGGTTGATTTGACACCGCTTCTAGCAATCACAAGAGAGGCAATTAAGAGCTCTTAACAAAGTTCAATAAGTTAGTCATTGCAATATAGTCTTCAGAGATGATGCCAAAGTCCCAATCAAAGGAGAGGTGAAAATTCCTAGAAAAGGATGGTAAATACCACTTTATTTCTCGAGTTTACTATGTGCTATTCTTGAATAAAAACAATTTGCGCTCAGGCCAATTATGATATTCACTTAAAGAATTGGGAAAGTGAGAATCTCTTCTTCTTTTTTTTTTATGGATACGGTAAGGAAAGTGAGAATTTCATAATTTGATTGTGAGGTACCTAGGTCAAAGAATAGAGTATTCGCTCACACAATGTTCTCGAGACGATCATCCTAAATTCTTGAAGGCTAGTATAGAAGACCAGTCATGGCTATCCTTAGCATGCTTTGAACCATAATGAAGAGGTTTTATTCTTATGTTTAAACACTCCATTTTGCGCAAGGCCATAGCAAAAGCAAAGTGTCGACTATGACGAAGTCTTTTTTCATGTAGCTTATCAATAATGGTTCATCAATTGGGTTAAATCACCATTTTTGAATGGCTAACTTGAAGATCTCATAATTTGATTGTCGAGGTACCTATGTCAAGGAATAGAGTGTTCATACACAATGATCGAGATGAACATCCTAAATGCTTGAAGGGTAGTGTAGAAGACCAGTCATGGCTATCCTTAGCATGCTTTGAACCATAATGAAGAGTTGCACAAGGCCATAGCAAAAACAAAGCATCGACTATGATGATGTTTTTTCCTGTGGCTTATTGATGAATGATTCATCAAATGGATGTTAAGTCATCATTTTTGAATGGCTAACTTGAGAAAGATGTTTTTATTCAACAATCTATGAGCTGCATAATCAAAGGGCGTGAAGATTAAGTTTTCAAATTGAAAGAGACCTTGTATGGCTTCAAACACTTCCAAGAACACAGATTTAAATTTTTACCAGATGTACTATATATGATGAGCACACTCTCTTATGTTAAAAAGAATATAAACGGAGGTATTTCCTTTGTTAATGTATTGATGACTTACCTTTACAGTCAATAACTATAAAATGTTTGATGACTTCAAATGGGTGATCGCACGGGAACTTGAAATAATTGACACTGGTCTCATATCTTGTAATTTTAGCATTAAAGGGAAGCAATATGTTAATCGTATTTTATATCACAAGAAGCTTATGCAAGCAAGATACCTGAAAATTTTAGTATGCAGAAAAGCAAGTTAGTGAACACGTCGATTCATTATGGAGAAAAATTATCTAAGCTTGAGGAAGGTCAGAGAGGAGTCAATTCACTACAGGATTGTTGTCGAAAGCTTGATATTTTAATCGGCACAAGGCCTGGTATTTTTCAAGGAGTTGGATTTTATATATTGTAGTGCACTAGTTTGTTTTTCTCAAGCTACTTTATATATACTACCAATATGATGAATGTGGTCTTTTATTCTTTAGTTGGGTTGCACTTGCTTAGGAGTTAGGAGTAAAACACATCAATTGGTTTTAACTGATAAAACATGGATGATAGTTGGCCACCAACTTCATCACATGCACTAAGCTCCCGCTATGCGCGGGTTCCGGGGAAGGGACGGACCACAAGGGTCTATTGTACGCAGCCTTACCCTACATTTCTGCAAGAGGCTGTTTCCACGGCTCGAACCCGTGGCCTCCTGGTCACATGGCAGCAACTTTACCAGTTACGCTATGGCAACAACTTTTTTCATCACATATGATGGAAAAAAGTACTACTCGTGGATACATCAAAGGTACAATTAATTACAGCCTCTACCATCAAGCTTGTTAGCTACAGTGAAGTGGGATGAATCGAAAGAGTTCTACAGGCTTTGCAATTTTTTTTTGGGTGGAAGATACGACATTTACTTGGTGTTTAAAGAAGAAACCTTTTGGGACACTTTTCTAGTTGTGAAGCCAATTAGGTTGCATCTGTCTCTTTCTTCATGCAAGTTAACTTCAAAACTTGTTGAAGATGTTATGCACACAAGAGACACCTCCTATATTCATTGTGACAATAACTCTAATAACATTGCTTTGGGAGAAAACCTACATCATATGAATGAAGTAAAGCACATCGATACAATATGCAATTTCATTTGGAAGCATCAAGAAGAAAGAAGTTGAAATCACTTATATCAAGACTGTGATCAAGTCATTGACATATTTACTAAGGCATTAAAGTATGAAGTCTTTGCAAGATTGCGTCCTTTGATTCTGGATTTCTTAAGATAAAACAACTTTAGTTCATGAATTAGTATATATGGTACATGAATTGTTGGATTCAAAGTATTATACGTAGTTCATATACAAGTTGTAATACGTTTAAAGAGTTAAGAGACGTATGGTCAAAGTATTGGGTGTAAGCTACAACAACAACAACACACAAAAAAAAAAAAAAAAAACAGTGTAATCCTACAAAGTGGGGTCTGGGAGGGGTTGAGTGTACGCAAACCTTAACTCTACCTTGTGAAGGTAGAGTACAAGGTAGAGAGGTAGTTTCCGATAGACCCGGGATCAAGGAATTGGATGTAAGCTACATCTACAAAAAAAATTAAAAGAAGAATTTGAGCAAAAAGTCATAAGAAGAAGAAGCATTGCCTCTAATATTTGTGTTTTTCCTCTAAATCTTTTCCTTTTTACCACTACGGCCTCCGCCAATATTTTCTATACAAAATGCAATTAGGTCCTCCCTAAGTGTCTCTATCTAACATATCTACCTCAATATATAGATAGAAATAAACAGCTTAACTACCTCAAGTTACAGTAAAACAACTCCTATCAACATCTCTATGTTATCACAATTTTCCAATACACAGCCTAAGCTGACTGCAATTACCAAAACAATTTTCCCCAAAGCAACAATTATAGTCATCTTTTAATGCTTTCCATCAACAATCTATTCGGACAACGGAATCTGCTAAATATTTTTGGCAATTTATGCAGAGCAACAACAACATATCTAGTGTAGCACAAGTGTGATTTGGGGAGAATAGTGAGTACGCAGCCTTACCCTTACCTTTATGCAGGTAAAGAGGTTGTTTCAAATATACCTTCGGCTCAAATGGCAATTTATATAGAGCATGTCTACTTATATCTTTCACCCCAAATCGTTCAAGCTAAGCCAATCGGCCCAATTTAGATAAGACAAAAATTATCTTTAATAGCATAATGGGAATTAAGCAATTGAGGAACTCACAACAAAATTAAAATGTAGTAGCCACAACCATAACAAATAGTATTAAAAATAGCAGCTTTATATAAGCGAAAAACACGATATTATAACCATTAGATTCTTAAACCCTAAAACACATTTTAAGTATCATATACAACAATACTGTCTTTATTAAGAAGAAGTAACTATATTAAAAGTTTATCAATTTTAAACTCTAACCTGTACATGGAAAAATTCCAGCTCCATATCTGAGAAGCATTTGAAGTTCTACTCTTTACTAGTAATTTCCTTCATTTCCCTCTGCAAAAAAACCTACATAAAATATTACCTGTGCAGACAAGAAAATAAACAAATCCCTTAGTTCTTAATTAAAACAATAAGAGTTCAATATACAGAAAGAAAACTGCTTTTTATGGTTAATTTTCAAAAGAGGGACAATCAACTAAAACAAGAGATTACCATAGCGAAAATGAAGAGAATTGTAAACTGAAAAAAAAAAAAAAGGAAAAATGAAAAGAAAAGAAAGAAGAAACTAGACAGTTCTAGAGAAGAGGGAAAAAGTATTCTTTTACTTGTTTAACAATTTTATTTATTTTAAGAAGAAAAAAATAAGTACAGTTTTCAGTTAAATAAGAACAGTAACAGGGTTACCTTCCAAATCCATGTCCGTCCTCTCCATCAGAGATAAGTACATAAAAAGTCACAATTAATAATATATTATTTAATTGGGGGTATCACTAAAAAAAAAATACAGTACCTAGGTTTTACAAAAAAAAAAAAGATCCCCAAAAACCTCAAACTGAAAATTTTCTTTTTTTCCCCTGATCTGCTGTAAAACCCCATTTAAAATCTTGTAAAAATATGAACTTGCAAAATATACAAGATGATATACATGTACAGAAAAAATCAAATAAAACAAAATTAGGTCAAGAGTTTGGAGTCAATGTTATATTTGTATGGTGAATGTACTATCCAGAGAGGAACAAAAGAAGAGAGAGAATTCAAGAAAGAGATGACACGTGTTCACTGCCATTTCAGTGCCCATTAGTTCATCAAAAGGTATAATTTTTCTCTGTGTTAGCATTCTCTGCATCTTCTTCAATATCTCTCCATCTTACTTACATTTTCTGAAATGAATTCTTGGAACAACAGTCTAAGTTCTATTTACTTGACCTATAGATCACATGTTCGAACCGTAAAATCAAGAATAATTGTATCAGTATAGGCTGTCTTCATTATACTCGTTGGAGTGCAGCCATTTTTCCGATCCTATATGAACACAAGATATTTTGTGTACCGGGTTGCCCTTACTTGCATTTTCTCTCTAGACAGATATAGCAAATATGATAATATCTATATGGTCTCGTATTCGAGCTTTGAAAATGAATCTAAACCTTTCATACATGAATTTAAATTAGTCAAACTAGTAAATTTGAATCACTCAACTATAAAAGAAAAAGGAAAAAACCAATATGATCATAGAATGAAAAAGAAATCAATAAGGGAAACTAAAGAAAACTAAAACCATTTGTGAGAAGAGAGGGAAGAAAACAAATAGTAGCTGACAGAAAGAGAAGTGAGCACACGCAAATAATATAAAACACAAAGGTATACACTGTATACAATTGTGTGCGTGTGCTCACTCTCTTCTGTCAGTCTGTCATCTCTCTGGTTCCTCTCCCCAGTCCCCCCTATTGCTCTCCACCATTAAAAGAGAGAGCCTTTACTGTATATATAAATATAATCTGTCAGATCTGAAACCAAAGATAACACCCCTTTATAGAAATATATTGTAGAAAACCCCATGACCACAGAATTCAAAAGAATCAGATCTCTGTTAGATATATTGTGTTGATAATCACTCCCTAAACTCAGTCTCAAGAAAAAAGTTAGGAGTAACAGAAAGAAAAAAAGAAAGAAAGAAAGAAAGAAAGAAACCCTCTTTTTTGACACTTTTATGTTTTTTCTCATGTTGTGTTTAATACTAACACTTTGATGTATATATCATTAGCATCTCACATGCAGTCAAAAATTATAGGCTATAGCATCTGTGACCGGACATATCGTTAAAAATAATGAAGGGTGGAAATGAGGTGAAAGGAAGTCAGCAGGAGGCATTTAATTTGGACATACATATTATTTGTTAAGTAATATTTTAATTTAAATTTATGTATCTTACTTTCTTTCTTCTTTTAATCTGCTTCAAAGTAAAGTCTTTTTTCGACAAGTTTTAAAAAATTTAACTTTCCTAGTTTACCTTAATGACACTCTTTATAGAACTGACAGGTAAATTTAAACTAGAATTTTCAAAATTAGATTTATTTATTTACACACGTTTTGTTTAAGATTATAAAATTTAAAACTATTATTTATATTATTAACTTTCATCTCCAGTCATTTATTTGTCTTAGCGATGGACGTACTGATGCATCACATATAAGGAGAGGTGTCGTAATACATGTTATTTGCTGACGACATATAATACTAGTTGACGAGACGCACGACGGTGTTAATGTGAGGCCAAAGGTTTGGAGACGGGCCTTGGAGTCAAAAGGGTTCAAGTTGAGTGTGACCGAAACAAAATACTTGGAGTACAAGTTCAGCGATGTGACTTATGAAGCATATGTGGACGTGAGGCTTGATTCACAAGTCATCCCCAAGAGAGCGAGTTTCAAGTACCTTGAATCAATAATCTAAGGTAATGAGGAGATTGACTATGATGTCATACACCGCATTAGAGCGGACTAATGAAAGTACGGGGTAAAGTGTTAGCCAACTAAGGAATCTCATGTACCGGAGATGAAAGTGGCAAAATTAAAATAAGGATACTGAGATGGATGTGTGGGCATACCACGAAAGTTAGGATTAGGAATGAAGTTATTTGGGACAAGATGCAGAAGTAAAGCTAAGATGGTTGGGGCACGTGAAGAGGAGGGCAACATATGCCCCTATAAGAGGTACAAAAGGTTAGCATTGGTGGGCATGAGAAGAGGTAGAGGTAGCCCGAAAAAGTATTAGGGAGCGGTAATTAATTAGGCGAGACATGGCACAACTTCAGCTTACCGAGGACATGACCCTTGATAGGAGAGTATGAAGGTCGAGGATTAGGATAGAAGGCTAGTAGGTAGTTGAGCGTATTTTTTTTCCATACCAGTATTATTAGAAATATTCTTGTATTTCCTTATTCGTAGTTTACTTTTACTTCCAGTGATTGTTTTCGTTTCGATTATCTTAACTGTTGTTACTACTTGTTGCTACTGCTTCTTTTTATCTTTTCTTGAGCCGAGGGTCTATCAGAAACAACCTCTCCATCTTCACAAGGTTAGGATAACATCAGCGTACACACTACCCTTCTCAGACCCCCTCCCACTTGTGGGATTACACTTTTTTTATTTGCTAAGGACTTTCTGGGTTTGTTATTGTTGCTATTCATGTCCAATCAAACTTAGACACATTAAAATAAAAGAAGTACTCTTTTTTGTGATTTTTTCCATTGTTAGTTCTTCAACTTAAAGTAAAAAAAATGAAGTCGAAAAACTATTTGAAAAGTATATCAAGTGAAATTTATAGGCGAAATGGCCTCGTGGCCACTTAAACTTGCACCATTTTGCTAAGCCGATACATAAACTTATAGTTTTCCCATTTGAACACTCCAACTTGATGGAATGAGTACTAAGAAATCACTTTGACCATTGACTATACTTATGTGGCAGTGACAAAGGTGATGTGGACAAAATGCGTGTCAATCACACAAAAAATGCGCGTGAATGCTATAATCTGATTATAGAAAATACTTTAATAAATAGGAAAAAAATGAAGAAGAAAAGGAAAAAAGGCCCCAAGCGTATCAGTACTCATTTCCACTCTCTTGCTTCTCTTCAACTTAAGCAAGGAGAGAGAAAGCATCAGAGAGTTCAATTCCTGCTAAATTCAATATGAAGATTGTGTAGTTTTACTTATATCTTATGATTTTGGAGTTTCTAGAAAAAATGGGGTTATATGATTGGCTGCCGGCGAAGTGGATGTGACAGCCATTGGAGTTTTCTGGTGGTCAAAAGCACTCACCACTCTAAACCACTGATCGTCTGAAGAAAACCCTATTATCGAATTCATATTTGTCAAAACACAAAAAAGGCAGATATTTGCAACGGTATTGGGCGGCCTCCATTGTTTCAAACGTGGATTCGTGTTGATTTTTTCTTAAATTCCAAAATTAATTTTTTTTTTGCTGGTCTAACCATGAGCATAGTGGTGTTGTTAATTTGATTTAGAAATAAGAGAGATAAAGAACGGTAAATAAAAAGAGAAAGAATAAGAATAAAAATTAGGAAAGGAAGGGAGGTGTGAGTGAACGGAGAAGAAGGGAGATAGGTGGATACGGGTTCCTGGGGTAGTAGAGAAGTGTCATGTCTTTTTCCTTCTTTTTTTTTTGTAACTTATTTTTTTTTTTTGCTGATTTAGTATTTAAAAATAGGACCCACAAATAACACATGTCAAGTAATAAGTAGTTTAGTATATGACGTGTTGTACATGTCAGCGCAATTAATATATATGCTCTACTGGATGTATTTATAGTACTCATTTCTGTCAAGTTGGAGTGTCAATGAGAAAACTTTAAATTTATGTATCGGCTTTGCAAACTGATGCAAGTTTAAATGGCCACGAGGCCATTTCACCAAAATTATATGGTAATACGATATTAACTTCAAATACTTCATCTACTCCATTTCATGTGATACTCTTTTTGGTTACTCACAAAAAATGAATATATTCTTCTATACTCACAAAATAATTAACTTTAAATTTTTTATTTTATTATCTATAAAATTATTTTATACTTATTCTTTGGTTTATTTTTTCAACGTCAACTAAATATTGTCCAAACGGGAGTTAATGGTTGTTACTATGTCACGTGGCTGCTAGTACAAATGCCTCTTTTCCCCTACTTCTTGTCTTTGATACACAATTCGTTTGACACAAAATTCATTATGCTGACATTTTGGAGATGTTTCTGGAAATTGATAAGTGGGACCCGTTGTGGGCAGTTTTCGATATATGATTGGTTGTTTCAAGATAGAGGGCCACGTGTAATGCAACTGCTGGCTTTAACAATGCAGTAATTACACCATTTATAGACACACAAAAAAAATAAATAGTAATTGATGTATTCTAATCTCCTCAACATTAATCACTTTATAAGAATTATTATATGGTAATCTTCACATAAGCGATCCCTGTATTACAATACTCGAATAATTATTCGGGTCGTGTTATAAATACCCTAACTAAACTTATTGACATGTGAAATTTCAGCTACTGAATTTCGATTAATTGAATTTATCATCTCTTGATATTATTTTGCATTGTTCGTATATGAACTTCTTCATACTAAATTTATTACTATTGATTCGATAATTCTTATAGTATATAACATATATAATGCATATATATATACAAAAAATATATTTTTTTTTAGCTATTATTTTGGAACCGCTATAGAGTGTCAATTTTTCCATTTTTAGACTCTTGTTTTCAGTCCCAACTGTTAAGATATTGTTAGTAGTAGTCATCTAAAGACTTTTGGCTGTCACAATTCTATTCTCTTGAACTTTAACACAAATGGTGTCTAAATAGTTGTATCTTGAATTCTCACGTATATAGGCCCTAACTTGATAGCGTTTGATATTTAAACAATGATAGTGGGCATAAATTTTATATTAGCAATATATTTTGATGTGTTATAACAGATTATACGTTTTATTTGTTAAGTTAGTAATCTCTCTTATTACGAGTTGTTACTTATACTCATATTTTAGTTAATCTGATAGTGCAAAAGAATCTATAGTATCATTAGTATACATAAGTTATCTTCTTTTTTTGGATAACAAAAGTAGCTAGCAGAGTCAGAATTTTTATTAAGAACAATAAAAAATAAAAAGGTAAATATGTGCCATCCCTGGGTGATAATAAGTGCCATCTAAGTACAACCGGAACCTCTAAGATGGTCGTTTGGTTTTTGTATAGAAGTGGCAATAAAGGTTCAAAATTATATACATAAAAAATTAATTTTATATATACAATACTCCATCCGTTTTAATTTATGTGAACTTATTTGAATGGACACGAAGTTTAAGAAAAGAATGAAGACTTTTGGAATTTGTGGTTCTAAACAAGTCAAAAACGACCCCAGAGTATTTATGTAGTTATAAAAATTTCTCATTAAGGGTAAATTTGTAAGTTTAAGCTAAATTGGTACTATTACCAAATTTAGAAAGAGATCATTCTTTTTGAAACGAACCAAAAAGAAAATAGGTTCAAATATAATGAAACAGAAAAAATATATTTTTTCAATGAAAATAGTTCGAATGAACCCCTCCCGTCCCTGATAATAAGAGCCACCTAAGTACAACTGGGACCTCTAAGATGCCCATTTATTTATTTATATAGAAGTGGCAATGAAAGTTCAAAAATATTTTCCCAAAAAAGGAAAACTCACATGACTAATTCCTCCTACCAGACACTTGCCTCTATGGCTAAGAATAGGGGGGAGGTTGGTGTGTGAGTACCAGCTAAATTATAGTCTATCAAGAGGAGTGGCAAAGCTACAGGTGTCTAGAAAATTGTACTTGTTAAGTTTCTTGATTTTGACCGTAAATTCGGACATAATTTTTTAAAATAATAGTCATATCTTAATTCTTAAGCTTTTTTGGTTACCTAACGCTTACATAAACAATTTTTTTTTTGGGAAAATGATATCACATAGCCATTTTTATTTTAGTCGCTTATTACACTCTAATTTACTGCACTTTAATTGAGTTTGAGCCATAATCGCTAGTGTCTTGCACTAACTGTGTGTTTTATGCCTTGTAGGAGTGATTCCGAGCTATGTGGATGTAATGGAATGAATTCAAGTGATTTGGAGCTTTAAAGTTTGAGTAAAAGTTCAAGGAATTAAGCCGGTATTGCGTTTGGGGGTCTTGATAGTTAGAGCGAACGAAGAATCCAGTAGGCATATTGCGCACTGT